CAAATTAATGCCAAAATGGATCCAGCTTAGAAACACAGAACCACAAATGCTCTAACATTAGCAGCAATCATTACTTATAGTTTGCGAAACTGTCAACAGCAAATGCCAATCAAATAAGTAACTTGTATTTAGATAACCCAAGTTCAGTGGGGAGTTTCTGAAAAAGAAATTATTTCAATGCCAAGTCACGCTTACAGCTTTGAACAAGTAGCAAAACATGGGCATGTTTCTCAAATGGATTTCACAGCATCAGTGCAAGAGCCGGAGGGGATGGCTTAGTTTTTTAAGCCTCAGATTTGAAATACCTAGACTCCCTGCAACTACAGCGTTAAATCCTCTGTGGAACCACAGCTTCAAATGCTATCAGGAGAGACTCAACTCTTCATCCCTCTGAGACTGATAAATTGAAAGCCATGAAGTTTAGAGGAAATGGAGGGGAGACTGCAACCTCCTGCACCCCCCTCCTCACCCCACACAGGAAGACTCTATTTGTAACATCGCTTAATGTTCCATTTGAGGCTGTCTCCTTGGTAAGACTGGAGGATGATGTTCTTAAGACATTCGGAAATCTCACAACCCAGCAATGGACCATTTTTATAAACATTTAAACCAAATTTTAGACAGCTCAAAGTCGGCGGAAAACCTTATTTTTAATTCCCATTTAAGACAGTCAAGGAAATTCTAAGTATTTACTTTAAAGTGCATTATAGGTATCTGGCCAACTCTTTATAATTCCTGTAGAAATTTCTGAATCGCAAATTGATTTCTTTTTGTTGCTTTGTACATTTCTGGACCACCTCCTCCCTGACATCAATTAATGGATGCTGGGTAAATGCCAATTAAGCAAAAGAATTTTATTCAATCTGCACAGTACTTAACCTTTCTCTCACATCCCCACCCTCATTCGCAAAACTTTATAAAACAAAGGAGAACACTCTTATTTTCTCCTGGTTTCAAATAAAGAAAGAGTGCCTCAGGAAGATTAGATAAGTAAGCCACGGCTGATAGGTTGTTGTCCTGCGTTTTAAAACCCACGTCTTGAGAATCTCCCTGAGAGTCTATTCTATCCTGTTGATAGTTTTACGTAGTTCTATTTAGCAACATAAACACCTTACCAAAAAAAAAATTATGTAATGCAGTCTAAACTTAAATAAAAATAACATATAACTAACTCTTTTATCAGTAATGCTACATATCTCTGGCTGGTATGTATAGTAAATGATTTAAGAGAATGAAAAATTGAAAAGGATGCTGGGAAAACCCTGGACCATTTTTTTAAAGGTCTGCTACCTAATTAATCAATTGATGTCTCTTTTCATTTAAATTTACCTCAAAATAAAGCATAAGGATCCAGTTACATGAAAACCTACGAGTAACATGAGGGTACTTCCAAGACTAAAACTCAAACTATTCTCCAAATGTTAGTCAAAGAAAAATCAATCCAGAAGGAACGCAAATATCCAGAGTATGTTAACATCTTTAAGACAGAGCTGCAGACATGACTCTAAGTTTAAGTTAACTGGATAGTGGACCCATTGGGTATTTTAATAGATGCTAAAAAGCCACCAAAAAGTCAGATTCCTTTGAGGTGGCATATTAATTATTCTAAATACAAATACCTTTGGGGAAGCCAACCTATTGATACCCTTTCTCAGACATTCCCACTATAGTATAATTTAGCCGTTTTCCTCCAACCAATAGATGAGTTGCATTTCTGTTAGGAATTTTGAGTTCAAGTGGGGAGAGAATAGTATTGGAAAAAAAGGGTGGGCTTAGTGGAGGTGACCAAGTTCAGGCTCTTTTAACCAAAAGAAACACAAATGACTTAATTACAAGGGAGGACCTACAGGCAGCAGTGGGCACTGAGACCAAATTTTCATGTATTGTGTTACACCATTTTTCTCTGAAGCCATGTCCTGGCTCCTGACATAGCAAAAAACTAAGGCTCAGTTCAGGTGCTAATGAAAATTAATTCAATGCACAATGTCTGTTTTCTTTGCTTTCTTATCCTATTTCACCCCCTCTTTTAAATTTCACATAGCATTAGCTTATCCTGATTATACCAGCAGAAATAATTTGTTTCTCCTCCAAAATCCCACAGTAGAAATTTATAATACTTTTCTTCAATTGCATCTACCGTTACAATACTTCCCCACCTTGGGATACACTTTCCAGACTATCATCCGCTGTTTAAATTGTGTATTTGATTTCGTAGCAATGGAGCCTTGAAGATTTTGAAAACTTCGCAACTCCCACCAAGTTAATATTTTAAAAGTCTGGATAAATTTGTAAATATTTGTCAAAATTATTTGATGATGTGGCTTCCTCTGGCAACAGAGTCAGGTATCCCAGAGCCCCAAAGGGATTACTGGTTCATGCCGAGCCGTGTGCCTAGACAACCAAACTGTCAAAATGAGCAATCTCTACCATGCGCGTTGCTAAAAACAAGGCAACAGGTCTAAAAATGAAGTTGCTTATGCTATGGCTTCTGTCACCAAACCAAGAGTTAATTACAGTCTTGGCTCTTCCAGAAACAGAAACTTAAACCAGTCAATCAGGAACCTCCTGATCTGCACTAGTCACACGTTCTGCCTGATTGTCCCCTGCCAACCCCAGAAAGGAAAGTAACCTTGGAGTAATTAACCCACTTTTTTGCCTACTCTAACTTTCCTTGTCCCCGCCTCATTCTCCCTATAGAAGTCTTTGATTCTGTACAGCTCCTCTGAGCTCCCTTCCATCTGCTAGATTGGATGCTGCCCAATTTGAATCAATTTTTGTCAAATGAACTCAAATTTTTCAATATACCTCACTTTATCTTTTAACAGTTCTGGTGCCAGAAGAGAGCACAGAAGGAAGAACAAGCAACCACGTGAAGGTACCTGTAAGTCCCCTGAGCTCCGCTGCTTTCCCATGCCTCCAGAGGTGCTAGGAGGGTCCTGTTGGATTCGCAGCTTTTGCATTAGGAGCTTTCAGAAACTTCATTTGAGAGTTTCTTTTTCCAGGTCAGGTCCGATTTAGAAATTGGACCGGGTCTGACTTTGAAAGCAGGCTAGGTGCTCCTTAGAAACTGGACCAGTCTGACTTGGAAACTGGGCTGAGTCCAGTGTGAGGCCTTGGTTGAATAAAATTTTGTTTTAAAGTTGAGCAAGCAGGTTAAACTTACCAAAAATAGTCTTGAATTACAGCAGCTACAATGGAGAATTTTAAACCACTCTAGATAACCTAATGCATTTAGGAGTTGCCCTAGAATAAAAGGGGTCTCAGCAAAGCACTATCATAAAGGGGGTAGGGAAGATCATTTTTCCTCCTCTACAGTTTCTGGGGGCCAGGAGGAGACCAGCTGGGACACTCCACTCCCCCTGCAGCCTACAGACAGAATCCTAGGCAAATGGCAGAAGCTGGCAAATGGCAAGAATTCTTACCAAAGTCAGCTTTCCCAGATCTCCATCTGTGGTGTCTGGTTGAGAGAGGAAGGTAAAATTCTACTTCGTCCCTTCCTTTCCAAATTCAGATTGGCAGGCAAAAAAAAAAAAACAAAACCACATTTCGAGTATTAGATCTTTGAATTGTGACACATGAATTTGCTTTTAGGTACCCACTGGCTGTCAATCCTTTCTCTCCTGGGTACAGCTGCTGCCTTCTCATTTGTCTCATTTTGTGTCTTGAGAACTTGGCTTGGCACCTGTCAGGTTTGGGCCCCAAAAATATGGCTATGCAGAAATGCAGGTTGCACGCCATTTGCACCTGTGGTCTTACTGGCTGTTGCCAGCTCTCAGGAAAATTGTCTTTCTCTCTTTTGGTTATCTTTGAGAGTGCCTCTGGATCTTGGGAGGGTAATATCTGTTGCACCGTTTTTGAGGACGCCCCTAATGTCTAAAGGGTTGTTCAATACGGTCAGGAGCATTTACAGTTTGTCTTAGCGGAGGCCTGACAAGACATTCAAAAGGATTGTTTTTAATGTAGCTCTATGGTCAGAAGGTGGCCAAATTGAAAATTGATAATCAGAGCTTGACAGGGAGTTTTTACGCCGTCTCCCCTAATCTAAAATGACGCTATGTACCCAGAGGGATGGAAAACAAGCTGAAGCTTTTGTAAGAAGGATTTATTAAAACACTGGAAAGACGCACAGCCCTAAATCTAGAAAACAGGAATGCTTTGATTTCCATCTCAGTTGAAAACAGTCTTCCCGATATAAAGATGCAAATTGAGGGTAACAGAACTGAATGGGGGGCGGGGGGGGGGTCAGCCAAACAACATCATCAACAATTCAGAGGCCACCTATTCTTTTTATCCATCCCCCAAACCTCCCCTATTAGTTAAAAAGATATAAGTAAACGTTTACAAAGGAAGTTTTCCACAATATCCTGCATAGTGTATTTACTTAAAAATCGTTTTCAAAATCTTTAATATTTGTCAGTGTATCCTTTAACAACGCGAAGCCTCCATCCCACCTTTATTTCAAACATGTATTTAGCACTGAAAGGTGTCAGGGACAAGGTAGAGGACGTTCCAGACGCAACCGTTCTTGCCCCGGAGCCCCAGGAGCGTGCGTGCACTTCCGAGCCCCGCAGAGTCCGGGTCTGCTCTGCCTTCAGCTCCGGGATTCGTAATGAGAGCACATCCTGCGAAAAGCTGTGGCTGTAAGCAAGCCTGCTTCGCCCTTACTGCATAACCACCCGAGGCCAGGGATCCCGGAGCCCATTTTGAATTTGAAAATTTGTCTACTTCAACTTTTCATTTAAAGGATAATAAGCGAAAATCAAATGAAAATAGTCCCAGGTCATGCAACCCAGGGCTGCATAATTTCATTCGAGGCTCAGTCTGCCTTTCACAACGGGGGAAAGCAATAATTTGGTTAACTATTAAAAAAAAAAAAAAAAAAAAAATCTGCGTACGACCTAAGGAGCCCCTTAGCACTGAGCCAAGGCGGCCGCAGGCCAGAAAGCGCCCGCGGCTCCCGCGCTCCCGCGCTCCCGCGCTCCCGCGGCCCGAGGAGGCCAGGTCTCGCGAGAGTAGGGGGAGCACGGCCCGCGCCCCAAGGGAGCCGCCGAGGCCGCGGGCTGGGCGGGGCGCCGGGGATCACGAGTGCGCGAGCGCGGGCGGCCCGCTGAGCTGCGGCCCCGACCCTTCTCCGCGGGCGCGCGGCCATGGCACGGAAGTGGCGCCTCCCTCTGCTCCTGGTGCCGCTCCTGCTCGGCCCAGGCCTCCTGCACAGCTCCAGCGCTCTGCCCCTGGTCCTCAACACTTGGCCTTTTAAGAATGCAACCGAAGCAGGTGCGGGGCGGCGGCCCGGGGCGGGGCC